AAATAAATGAAACATATAGCCTATTGGATAGGGAGAGACTAGAGAGAATGAGGGGAGGAGGGTAGAAAATTGGTGGTGTCGTGCAATTTTAAGTAGGCTGGTCAGGGAAGGCCCCTTTTGCAAGGTAGTATTTAAGCACTAGGAGATATGGGTGAGTGTATGTGCACCTGGAGAAGGAACACCCTGAAAGAAGAGCAAGTACAAAAGCCAGTGTGGCTGGGGTGGGGTGAGCAAGGGGGACAGTAGAAGACAGGAGGTCTGAGAAGGGACAGGGAATGTACAGTGCAGGGCATTGGAGGCCACTGAGATGTAGGGTGGAAAGCCATTAGAGAGTTTTGATTAAACCATTGACGTGATCTGGCTTTTTCTTTTTTAATTGAGACATAATTCACATAACATAAAATTCACCCTTTTAAAGTGCACAATTCAGTGGTTTCCAGCACGGTTGTCTCTTGGTATCTGTGGGAGACTGGATGGTTCCAGGATCTGCAAATGCTTAAGTCCCTGATGTAAAATGGTGCAGTATTTACATACAACCTATGCATATCCTTCTGTGTACTTTAAATCATCTCTAGATTATTTATAACACCTAATACAATATAAGTGCTATGTAAATAGTTGTTGTACTGTATTGTTTTTTAATTTGTATTATTATTATTTTTTAAAATATTTTTGATCTGTGGTTGGTTGAATTGCAATACAAAACCCGCAGATACAGAGGGCTGACTGTATAGTCCCCTTGTGCATCTATTACCACTTCTTTTTTTTTGAGACCAGCCGCACCGCGCTCAGCCAGTGAGTGCTGTGAGCACACCGGTCATCCCTATATAGGATCCGAACCCGCGGCAGGAGCACTGCTGCGCTCCCAGCGCCGCACTCTCCCGAGTGCGCTACAGGCTCGGCCCTCTATTACCACTTCTAATTCCAGAGCATTTTTATCACCCCAAAAAGGAACCCTGTACCAATAAGCAGTCACTCCCCTCTTCCCCCTCATCCCTCTTCAGCCTTCTCTTCATGCCTTATCCCTTGACAACCACTCTCCTACTTTCTGACTCTGCATTTGCCTGCTTTGAACATTTCATACAAATAGAATCACACAATATTGGCCATTTATGTCTGCTTTACTTTTCCTGGATCTCTCTGGCTGCTGAGACGAGAAGAGGCTGAAAGGAGCAGGGACCAGAGGCTGGGACACCAGTGAAGAGAACAATGTGATCATTCAACTGAGAGAAGAGAGGGGCTTGAAGTAGGATAAGAAGTGAGTGGTGAGGGATGGCCAGATCCTGGGTAGCCCTGGACAGGCTGGATGGGGGCTGTGAGAGAAAGAAAAGTGGAGGACAACTCCAGGTTTTTGGCCCGAACACCTGGAAAGACAGCGACATAAACTGAGAATGCGAGACTACTGGAGTGGCAGGTGAGGAGGAAGCACCAGGGCTGGACTCTGGAGATGTGAATTAAATTCAGAGTATCTATTACCCTTCCAAGTGAAGATGCTAAAAAGGGGAGCTGGATATGAGTCTGGGATTCAAAGGCGAGGGCCGGGTTGGAGATATAAATTTAAGAGTTAGAGAAAGGAAGGTATTTAATGCTATGAAAACAGATAAGATCATCAAAGGAGTCAGGATTAGAGAAAAGAGAAGAGATCCAAGGAAAGAGTCCTTGGACATTCAAGACTTACAGGTCAGCGAGATGAGGAGGAACCAACAACAAAGACTGAGAAGGAAACACCAATAAGGTGAGAGGACCAAGAGAGCCCGGAGTCTTAACAACCAAATGAAAAAGCTTATCGTGGAGGAGGGCATTGCCAGCTATGCCAATGCTGCTGACAGGTCAAGGAAGATGAGGACTGACAATGAGCCGCAGATGTAGGCATACGGCAGTCATCCTCAGACACCTGTCCTCTGCCCTCCTCCCCTGCTCTCTCCATGCCATCTGCCAGGTGTGTGTCTTCCCCTGATACTGTTTTGAAAGAACAGTTCAAATGGAAAGGTCAAAAGTCTGACTGGAGTGGGTTCAAGAGACAGTGGTAAGAAAGGAATTGAAGCCAGGGGCAACTCTTTTGATAAGTTTAGCTGTAAGGGGATGGAGAGAAACAGGTGTAAAGGCAGGTGAGGTATAAAGTAAGGGCTTTTTTAAGATGGGAGAGATAAAAACGTATTCGTATGCTAGTGGAACATACCTACTAGAGAGGCAAACAGATGAGGAGGAGGGAGTAGAGAACTGCTGGGATTGGTTAGAGGGGACAGGATTAAACATTTTGTTTGTCAAATAATCAACAATTAAAATATAAAATGATGTCTACTGATCCAGGAAAAAATGAACAAGGACAAGCTATACTTTTCTAGGAGACACAAGAACCACCATTGTTTAAAATTACCTGGATTCACTTTTCAAGGCTGAAGACATCAGATAAAAACTGTATACAGAGTGTCGGGGTCAGAGTTAAGCTCTGGACTTGGAGTTAACAAGATCCAAGTTCAAGGACCACTACAAGTTGCAAAACTCTAGATGCTTCTTTTGAACTCAGTTTTTCATCCATAAAATAGTGATTAACAACAACCTGTCCTCTCTTCCTTTATAGAATGGATGTTAAGATCAAATTAAATATGCAAGTGTTGTCTGTATGCTCTTAGGTGTGACACCCATGTAAAGCATTTTTAGTGCAGCTGTACAAGAAAGAGTTACACATCTGTTCTTACTCCAGCACTCCACCTATAGGAATACTTTAGCTCCAAAAAGAGTAAAAAGGCAAAATGAAGATTTTTTAGAAGAATAAGTAATTAAGGCATAAAAAAATAGAAGCTTGTGTAGATTGTATTCAAAACACACTCAATAAGTTGTACATAAAGTCTGCCATAATTTCCTCCTCTTCAAAATTCAACAACAATAAAAACACCCCTCTAGTTTAGACTCAGCTGAGTCTGGTACAAAAAAAGAAGTACACTAAAGTTGATTGCAGGCCTGAATGAAGCAAGACCGTTCTTTAAAAAGACGTGACCTAATACCTTTGCATGGATCTCTTTTGTTCTCAACCACCTTCCAGGATCAACTCAAATCAAAAGACAATTTGGTCCTTGACTTCTTGCCCAATAGGAGACATTAGTAGTTGTTTAATAGAAGTTTTTGTTTTACTATTTTCATTCTTTTAATGAAATTAAAATTTTTAATTCTGGCTGATTAGTATGTGGACCATAGTTCTCTTTAAGGAAAACGTATCTGTAGGTATCCTGATTTAGCCATTAACTGTTCTCATTATTTCTCCAGATAAACTAAGATACAAAGGTACATGCCATGCTTATTTTTTCTAATGAGAATTAGTGTGTCCACCTTTATCAAGGAACTGTAACTCTGAAATGAAATTTAAATTAGGCACCAAAGTTAAACTGACCTTTATCCTCAGCCTTTCCTCTCAAATTTCATCAGAAAACTTGGGTAAGAACTTAGCTTGCCAAGAGATCTTACAAGATTCAGAAGGAGAGTGTGAAAGACAGGATACAAAAGGAGGCATGTGCACAAGAACACACACACACAAATAAATGTATGAATATACGTCACTTTCCATTAAAATACGTCTATATCTCCACATTTATGCACCACTTGGCAAAAGAATCAGAGCTTCCTTGTGAAATCAGTGTGTACACTTCACGTATAATTAATAGGAAAAAGAGGTTATTTTTTTCTAATTACAAAGCATCTTTGTATCTCTGCATTTATGACACCATTTCTATGTAAATAACGTATTAGATAAAATTTTTTTAGTGAAAATTCTAATCTCCTACCATATACTCAGTTACTCTTATTTAAATAAAGTAATTCACTTTATAATAATCCATATTACAGAGTTTCTAAGAATAAATTATCCTGATAGGTGTGTGTATCCACCTCAAACTCCCTCTCACTCACACACTCCAGCATTATTGGGGAAGCACTTATTTTGAATAAAGTGATTTTTAAAAATTAAAACATATCATCTAAGAAGAGCATGTCATTTCAAGCATCAGTTTTGATATGACTATTTTTAAAGAAAGTTTTATCATAATACTCATTCCCCTAATTAATAAATTATTATAATCAACAATGTAACTAACATAATGCCACAATTAACATTAATATGTTAAATAATCTTGATTACTTAGGGTCATCATTATGAATATACAGTAACGGACCACATAATAAAATCTCTGTAAACTCAGAATTTGCTGAGGAGCATGGAGCTATTTGTCCTCACCCAGGAGAGAACCAGGCTATGCGTTTGACACGTTTTTTAGTTGACCGTGTCTGCCTCTTTGAGCTCTTCAGCCTCCTCTGCCTTGGCAGGAGGTCCACCAGTCGTTGCTTCCTCCAATCAGCATGCCCAAGTCTAGATGGCTCCCTATCTCCATGCAGCTATTGTTTGATTCTAAAAGCAGTAGAAGGACGCATGGTTTCAAAATGAAGTGGCTCTGCCCAATCCAGCTGCATGACTCAATAAACCACTGAATCTCTTTGGGAATTTGTTTCCTTATCTATAAAATGAAAGAAAGTGGCCTGAATGATCTTTAAGGTCCCATTTAACCTTAAGACTTTATAATAAATATTGATCTGGCTGGGAAAACTAACATTTAAGTCTATTAGAACTATACCCAGAGAAAGAATAGAGAAACTTCTGAGAAAGGTCCTTAGAGGTTCCCGTATTTTGATGCATGGAATTTATGGCTTCTTAGTTTTGCTATATCATGGACTTTTGGGTCCTACTTCTGAGTTGTTTTATTTCAAATTAAGTGAGGTTCCTCATTGGATAAGTCATGTTCAGATGAATGGGACAGAATTACATTAAGAGCTTTGGAAAAAGAAAAATATGATTATTAAATGTTTTTTCACACATAAGATAAAATTCAAGAAGAATTTTTCAAAAATCCATACAGTAAATTATTCTTCCATGATTTAGAAACTTTTGTTTCTAAATACATTTCCATTTGATATATTAACAAAACAATACTGCATGCTAAAAAACAATTTACCTATAACTACATCATGACCATCAACCAAGCCAGCAGAGAAGAGCTCCTGAGATACACCATCTGCCGTATCTGTCCAAATGTGAAATGAATATGTATTAGTAACCATAAAAATCAACAATTTAAATTATGTATTTACTAAAGTCACCCACATGAGTTTTAATTTGACATTTCAGATTCTATCAGCAGAAAGAAATCAGAAGCAACACAAAATACATTTTGCCATGTGCAATTTACATCATGCTATTTTTTTCAACAAAAGTTACATAATTTTTTTTTCACTTTTGATAAACCAAAAAACGTTTGCCTTATGGTTACTATCTGAATTAATCCTCAAATGCACCTCTGGAAGTTATATGACACTGCTCTTCTTTCTTGCCAAGGTTAATTCCAGCTGTCATCAATCCCTTTCTATCATTAGTAGCTACTGAGTCAGAATTTATGGCAAAGGTTGAATGGGTAGCATCTGATACAACCTTATATTTGGTACAAACAGCCTATGAGCTTGTTGGACTATTAAGATGAGCTATTTAAATTTACGCTATTAAGAAACTCCATTAACATGACATCTATCATCTGATAGCAACAGATTCATTCTCTTAGAAAATGTGGTTGAATAAAATAATATAATCCTCAATGATAAGTGACAGGAGTTAGCAATCTCTTAAGGATGGGACTGAACAGGCTGTGGCAAGTGAATATAGCTGAAATTACTTAATTGAAAGGTTATGAATGAACATGATAACACTGTTATCTTCTATTTGAAGACTTTGTAAAAAGAAATTGATAAATTGCAATGTGTTCAAAAGAACCATTATAAACCCCTATGTTTTTACAACGGTGATGACTTGGTTCCCCACGTCCTTCCAATATTCTCACAAACACTCAGAACTGTAGCTGGGTAAGAAGAAACCAGCTTGGCAGCCTATAACAATCTAGACAGAGGTTTGACATAAGTGTCTTCCAGTCAGGGAGCACCTGAAAGTATAGCTGCTGAATCAAACACATACCTTAACTGAATTGCAGTTTGTCATGCCAAAAGCTGCTCTCAACATAAACTGAGTCTCCTTACTTAACCTGTGCTTTGGACATGGTGACTATGTGAGACGGTGTGTGTGTGCACGCGCGCTGGAGGTACTTTTGTCTTTCACAGTTCTTAGGCTTTAAAGTGCTTAGCCAGTGTCTGACACATAGTAATCACTCGATAAATGGCAACTGTAATGATGATGCTGCAGCCAAGTATCATTTGAAACACACCTTACACTCTTGTGCACTCTTTTTCTCCCTTTCACTCATAGCCCTATTTCCTATATCTCCAAAAAAAAAAAAAAAAAATCTAGAGACCCTATGTATAATCTTTATGCTTACAGAGAATATGGTATTCTACTATTCTACTGATTCCATTTCATAATGAAATCATAATAAAATGGTATAAAATGAAGTAAATGGCAAAGGAATATATAGGAATCTTACTAAACTGTGAAATTCCACATAAGATAAGCTTTTCTGGGGCTTGTCCTTTATGCCAAGTACAAACACACCTTACAAAAGTCTCTTTGTGATAAAATGATCTCATATCATGGAAGCTAAGATAGCCTAATGGCAGGCTCTACTCTGAATGTGATTTGGCTTTCTGAAGCTGCTAGAACATTCATGCTCATAATCCCCATCTTCCTGGACGCCACCCAAATCTTCAGGAAAAAAAGCATTCTTAAAGTGCATAATAACACCTAGTGAGTGCTGGGCATACAGTAAGCAGTTATTATATTTCTACTGATTGATTATCTGTGAAAGAATTTAGATGTGTTAGCACGATCTCTAAAGTATCAATATGATCTTTATGATCTTTATATGATCAAAATGGAATAATCAAACGAAGCCACATTGAAAGCCAGCACTAAAATAGTAACAAAGTGACTGACATTCCCAAATGATTAAAGTGTACAGCATGTCCTACTCTTTTCAGGACTCCTGGCACCAGGTGAGTCATTTTCAAAGGGTAAATGAGTAATGCTCACCGGCCAAAAGGGAAAACGTTGCCCTTAAGCAGTCATTTTGTACGCATGTACGATATCAGTAATAGTTTAGAACAGAAATGTGAAATAAATGTAATTTCATGTATTGTTAGTAATCTATTTTTCTTTAAGGTGTTTAACATTCCTGATGTCTAAACAGGTCAAATAATTGTATATTAATGTCTGGTTTCCAGAGCACACAGCAACACATTAAACACAAACGGCTTGTCCTCAAATGAGGCAGAGAATATTTCATGTCATCATGTTACATATTTTATGCCGTATATACTCAGTCATGTGTACACACAGCATAAAAAACATGGTGCACATGCCATGTGCACACACAGATGTACCACAGACAATGTCTGAAATACAGACAACATCAGCAATCACAGAGGTACGGTGATATATACATAGTGCTTCTGTTAGTAACAGGCCTGTGCTCAGCTGCCCAGCAAAGGCCAGCTATCACAAGGAAGCCAGTGCTACGGTTTCTGTCCAGGCAACAAAAGCAGAGACTCTTAATCTAACCACGGCAAATGAGTCTGACAAAGCCAGGGCAAATGGCCCAGTAATGCTGACGGGGCCGTCTTCTCTGCAAAAATCCTTAACCCAGAAATTCATTTCTTTGTTACTGCTTAAAATTAAAATTGATTTTCATTGCCATAGTCAATTTTATACAATCAGATGAAAAGAAACAACCTTAAAATAAGAATCTGCTTTCTACCTACTGTACTTGAAACATTTATTATATAATTACTAGATTTTATCACAGCATTGCCTGGTCAATATTTTTATATTATGACAAAATAGATAGCCTTTTGATAACACTAACTGGTGCTGTACAATTTTTTAGACCAACTCTAAATTGTTAAAGATGAATATCCCAGGAAAGATTAATTAGCAAATTCATTGGGGCCTTATGTACATTTATTTTTCAAAAGATACTTCATATTTTAGTTTAACTCAAATATACTGGCAATCATTAAATGTTGGCACTTACAGAGGACTAGAGATCAGGGACCAGTGAGTCTATAACCACGTGTGGCCCAGGAACATATTTTATTTGGATTTTATTTGGCTGGTAGCAATTTTTTTTCTTTTCAATGAACATGAACACATTTAGACAGGACTCTCCAGTTTCCTGAAGTGCTCACCATTTGCTTTGGCTCCTGCAGGCATTTGAGTTTGTGTCTTCTTGCAGGTGAAAGTAACAGGTAGGCCAAAGAGGTTTACTGACTGACTAGCTATCAAATTAGAAAGTCTTTGTACTTCAGCTTTTCAAAATTTTGGCAAATATAATTTATTTAATCAGATTAAAATTTTCACGGAGCTTTAATATAAAATAAATACACAATGTTATTAGGTTATATATATTAATAAGTTTAAATATATGAGACTATTGTACCATAGAAAGGTATTCAATGTAGACATTGAGGATGTTTTCATGTACACAAAAGTCTGAAACCAGAGGTCAAGAAAAACAGTTACCGTCCTAGCACTGGCATCTGATTCTTACCATGCTAGGTTATTTTGGTTATAGACTATATAGTAGAAATACTAATTTTTTTCTTACCAGCTAGTCTTGGGGTCTCCAGAGACTGTTCACATATGCTATTTATCCCTTGATCAACCAAGATTACTTGAGGTTTTCCTGCATGCCAGGCTCTTTGCCAGGTGCAAGAAATAACAAAAGCATTACATGGTTCTAGGACTTGCAGGCATCCAGGAGCTGAAGGAACATCCAGTCTAGCCTTTAAGCAGGTGTATTAACTACTTAAAATACTATAATTGTATTCAGCTGCACGACTAACATTGTTCCTTCCTGCAGCCAACAGAGGCCACAAACACTCCCCAACAGAGGCTTCATGTAACCTGAACTGAGAACAGAGAGACAAAGTATGTTCCTTTTTGTGTGATACCACTGTTTGCAGCTCAACCCTTATTAGGACTATGTATGCTTCTCATTACACTCATCACAATTTCCTCTAGGCCCTTAACCACCCTGCCAGGACTTATTTCCATGATTCAGCTAATGTATCTAATTTACATACATATATATACTGTGCAACATATATCACTGGGATTCGTGCAGTCAGTGGTTTGGTTTGGATCCTTACAATTATTAAAAGTCCTTCTTCCTTCCTTCCTTTGTTTTTAGACAAAACATTTTTGGATAGTAAATTAGAACCCCACGCTTGTTATTAATTTCTGAAATGCTCCTTGTGGCAATGAAATAATAACTTCAATTAAAACTTACCTCTTCCTGGAGTAAATTCAAATCGTATATCATTGAGTTCCTTTCTGGAGTTTCTAAAATATATAACACAGAGCACATTAAAATCTAATGAAGCAGAGTTTAATCAAACTCAATGTATTACAATTTTTACAATATGCTACTAACATGTACATAGCAGTCTACAGTTTGGGGTTACCTCCAAATATTTCCTCAGCTGAAAGAGATAGTTATAACAATAATAAATGAAGAGATTTGCTTTATTGATTGAATTTACCTTACATAAACATACTTATATTACAAAATTCCAAAAACAAAATGTTCATTTTATAAAATCAGCACTAAATTGGCAGCCTTAAATATAATTTCATAATTAAAATTTTCAGAAGCCTTTAGTCTAAATTAAATGATATCCAAGGCATTTTTCATATTTTTCTTGGGAAAATGGTATTTTATTAAATCTTTTTAAAAAGTAAAACAAAGAGGAAAGATAGTCTCAGTGACAGAGTTTAAGACTGCACTGCACATTAAATCATGCAACAAAACGTCCAGAATGAGGTGTGTATTCTGTTGTTAAAATTTTATCTAGGGGGCCGGCCTGGTGGCGCACTGGATAGTGCGCTGCTTGGGAAGCGCGGCGGCGCTCCCGCCCGAGGGTTCGGATCCCACATACAGACCGGTTCCCGCTCACTGGCTGAGCGAGGCGCGGGAGCAGCACCGAGGGTTGCAATCCCGTTGCCGGTCCCCGGTCCGGGGGCAACACTGAGGGTTGCGATCCGTTGCCGGACACGGAAAAAGGCAAAAAAAAAAAAAATTTATCTAGGGCCGGCCCGGGGGCGCACTGGAGAGTGCGCCGCTTGGGAGCACGGCGGCGCTCCCACCAAGGGTTCGGATCCCATGTGGAGACTGGTTCCCGCTCACTGGCTGAGCGAGGCGCGGGAGCAGCACCGAGGGTTGCAATCCCGTTGCCGGTCCCCGGTCCGGGGGCGACACCGAGGGTGGCGATCCATTACCGGTCAGTAAAAA